GCCACTATTTCGACATTGTTCAAGCGCAATTTGCTACCTAATAGTGCAGAAATCCAGTGAACTGGGTTACGAAACTTCCCCTTCCCCACTTCGCTAATAAGAAGATCTAAATCCCAAAGCTTTTTAATTTGAGTATTATAATTCAATTCGAGCCGTGATATAGTATTTCAAATCTACCATTGGAAATTCCTCACATATTGTCTCAAAGTAATACAAGAACAAGAGGCCTTCTAAGGAACACTGCCTACCACCTTTCAATCACATTTTCGCTGCAAACAAGTATTTCCCTAGATGTCGAAATAAAATGCATAGTATGGACCCACACATCGTCCCCTTCCCCACCAAATAGTGAAAAAAGACAAGGCATGGTGTGAATTACAACCACAACGATGCTGCGATATTCGCAAAACTTGGGCACCTGGTCAGATCGAACCACGATTTCCCTCTCCGGGGATTCGTGCATTATACATGGCACCACAGAGGCCCTTGCTCTGCGTTTGTCTCAGATAGTTCTCTACATATCGCCGACATCAGCAATCACCCGCCAGCGAGATTGATTTGAGGAACACACATCGGCATTGAACCCAGTTAGACTGTTGTAGTCGAAATCACAATATTCAGCATCGTTGTGGTTGTAATCCATGTCATACCCTGCCATGAACAATTGCAATGGGGAAAAAATAAAAGGTTAACATTGTGATTCCGACCACAGATTCAACTTAACTGGATTCAACGCCGATTTGTTTCCCAGACCAATGGGTCTCCGTGGCCCAGTATGTAATGCGGGGACCCTCAAAAGGAAAACCGTGGTTCGATTTGCTCTGCGGTCCAAGTTTTCGAATATCTCAGCATCAATGTCGTTGTTATGCACTTTATTTACCTCGAAGGAATGGAGAGTTCAATGGCGGTGTTATCTCAAGTTATTTGATAATTAACACATAGCCGCCTTATAACGCTGTAAAACTGATAGAGCTGTTCTTTCCAGTTTATGTGTTCCCGCTTAACAACTAATCTGTGCGTGAGTTCATAATCGCTGGCTCGCCCTGAAATCTCATACATCTGGATACAAAGCGTGTGCTTATTTATTGAACTGCTCATTACTCAAACTGCTGTCCAAAACCCGCTAAATAGACTTCTCAATTTGTTACTCATAAATTACGTGAAGTCGAACATTCACCGAAATAAAGGAAGAGTGGACACAGAGGAAAAACGTAGAAAAAGTGAAAAAACAAGGAATATGTCAAGAATCGACTTCCCTTTAACCTTGGTATGACTAATCAACATGTGTTTTTTCATTGTTAAGCTAACAAGACCTTGATAAAAAAAAATCTTAAAAAATGTGTGGTTGTAAAGTAGTTTGTGAAGTAGTAGTAAAAAGTTGTTTGCGTTAGAAGAAAGCGAACTAGAAAGACAAAAAGGGAAAAAAAGCACCCGGAATTATCGACGCCCAGGCAAAGTTATGTGACAAGATTCTAACACGTCCAACACTACATTCACCTTACTAACAAGGATTCACACCCAACGAATGACGGTGGAAGCACTTGAAAATGATTTCGACATGTACCTTAAGGTAATATGCAATCAACAAGGTAATATGTAAGCAACAGAAAATGTAGTTCATAAATCAGTACTTCACAGTGATATTAAAAAATTTGACGATCACTCATTTATTAACACTGGAAACACTTGAAAAGCTACAGGTGTTTTCGCCAGTTGAAATGCAAGCCGAATTTCTACTTTGGCTGAACGAAAGTCGTTACTGCTCCGTTTGAAATGAAGAGGTGTCTATGGGGATCAATGAAGTCAACGAATTTCTAGATGGAGAGCGCTGCATCTCTCAATGGAATGCTTAGCCAGAGACATATCTACAAGCGGAGAACAAACCAATGCATGCAGCGAACTGCCAACTGCAAACTATAATGGTACCGGAACTATCATTCTACGCGACTGCTGTCAACTTTGAAAAGTCTCTTCTCATGAAATGCGAATACTATGATTGAGCTCATGGAAAAACAGTTACTCTACACCAACAAAGAAAAAGAGCTACTTTCCTTACGTCTTTAGAAAAGTTTTATTTTCCTAGTTTGAGAATTTCCACAATTTGTAAACCACTGGAACACACGACGAAACGAAATGATGAAAATAATTGTAATCAGCAATAATACTGCAACAACATTAGTGTCGAAAAATCATGACTCTGCGTTGTTTTTTCTATTCCCACCACTAGTTAAATTCTTGAAAAACGCTTTCAAGGATGGTTTCGATGCTGACATCTTCATGGAACAGGAACACCTAAAACACTGCTTATAGCAAATAAATTACATGAAGTTACAGTAAATAGTGGTTGTTGCATAAACCAATGTTTCTCAGCAAAAGGCCTATATTACATATAATCATTAATCACGAGTAACTGGAACGAAAAACACAACGGCCTTCCAAGTCCGACTTTCTACTAACCTCGGCATTGATTGAACATATCTTTCTATTTCTGTTCAGCAAACACGAGGTGCTATTTTATTTCTTTATTTACGCACAAGCTGACGTTTCGGCGGATTTCGCCATCCTCAGAGCCGCTTTCTAGGAGTCTTCCACTGAGTATGTCGCGTGAAGACCGACCGCACAGAATTCACATGGAAGCCTAATGTCTAACAAGCGTAATGTACAACAGCCTTCATTCAAGTGTGGTCGCTCAAGGAATACCATAAGAATTACATTGTTTGAATGAAGCTCATAGTATATAATCCTGAGTTATTTGCAAAACTCCGGACCGCAGGTGTATGCGGTGGGGAACGAACGCGCTATTGTCCTTACCGGGGAGTAGCGCACTTCACCACCACACCATCCGGGTCCTTCGCTTTGCATGTCTCTCAGCTAGTTCTATCGATCTTTTGCCATCAGCAATCACCCGTCAAGTGCGCTACTCCCCGGTCAAGACAATAGCGCGCGTTCGTTCCCCACCGCATACACCTGCGGTCCGGAGTTTTGCAAATAACTCAGGATTATATACGAGTTATATTTCGCAACATTCCCTGCCATTAAAAAGAAAAAGGCAGTAAATAAAAGGGTGAAGCTCATAGTTTCAGTTTTCATCGAGATGCCCATTGGCAACTTCTTGCACTCTACCATCCGCTCTAGATAAACTCACGAGTACGTTGCTGAACATTTTCTAGTAAACTTAAAAGCGACTCTGAAGCACCTTGTCCTTAAATTATTTCCAACAGACTTTTCGGGTAGAGCGACCTGCGAGGTACAGTCCTTTTATGCAGAAAAAGGGGCATACACGTATGCATGTATGCACTAAATATATTCAGAAGGTATAAGTGAGTTTGAAACGGCAGAACCTAGAAAAACAAAAACACCATCTGAATACGAATGTAAGAGGAGAAAATAGGATAAAACTTTCGCAAACGATCAATCCCTGAGGGATGGGGAATGCAGTCGACTTCATAATGGATCGTTAGAGGTGACTGAATGCATATCTGCCCTATTCAATGAGACGCGATGACTTATCGATGTATCGAGTCGGTGCTGCTATACTGCCACACAAGCCCGGTACCAATTTGTCGATCTCGGATGGACGGAGGGCTGCAGGCGGGATCGATAGTGTGTGTATTGCAGGGCACTCCGAACCACTGCGCTACATATGAGAATACGAGTGTATTTCATGAAAAACACACATGGTTTTTACTTTCGCTTCTGGAAGACTTGTACTGACACTGGCTTCTCGAAAAGTACTGACGATTTTTTCGATAATAGAGTGCTTGTGAACCCGCAGAATTATAGAACAAACTTCCTCCTCTGGGTTATTTAGTAGAACCCTTCCAATGTATTAGCGTTACTCTATTTATGCTTAAATTCGAATTCTCAGAAATCCAAAAGAACAAGTTTCTAAGTTATTTAGCGCAAGCGCAATAGCGATAAATATTAATGTAACACGCCACTTTTCTAGACGCGAATAAGCCAATAATGTTCCATCACTTGAGGACGCACTACGTAACATCGCATCTAACCGGTTCAAAATTCCTCAGATAAGAGAGTTTCATTGAACAATTATAATAGGGTGAGGGTTATGATTGAGTTTACTGCCAAAAATCTTATATCAAGTAGATGAGAAAGGGAAGAGAGATGAAAATGAAGAGGAATCGTCCCCAACAAACATAAATACATATCAGCACGCTATCATGGTAACCCTTGGCCAAACAGTAGGAATTCATCACGTCGTACGTGAAATGGAGAGAAGAGGAGGGAGCGGGGCTCTTCGGGTTAGTCAGCGGAGAAATCGCTGTGCTACTTTCCTACGAGAGTAGATAAAACCATTTACAAAGACTGTATGAACGCATACAACGTCATTCCTTGTGGAATGAAAATTTCTAACCAATAACCCACCGCCCGCTTCTTTGCAGAACAATGACTGCAAAAGTGGCCTACAGAATTGTTCTCTTATTTACTTAAATTCCGCCATCGATTCGTTGCTCTACTGTCTGGAACGCGTTGCTAGATGTTCACCTGCTACCTACCTACAATGTCGGTTCATCTGGGACTTTTTATTCAAGCTGGAAAAGATTTGAATGCTCCTGAGAAGTCCCTAAGCCGAAAACGGTTAATAAACTACAAGTGTAAGCTGAACAGAAAAGCAAGAAGGTCCTGGATAATTTCGAATCGAGTCACTCGATGATTACTGGTATTAAAGGTAAAATTATGGACGACTGTGCATGAAATACTAAATTTTCATAATGAGTCAGACATTTCTTAAGATAACGCAAGTTTAAATCATTTAGTGAGGTGGTATTTCTAAAACTCAGTCTGATTTACTGATTAGCAAAACACGATGCCAAACGACGCAGGAAACAGTAAAAGTGTCCTCCTATTTTGCCATAAAATGACGTAAAAAAAAATAAATAAGTAGAGCGCTCCTGAACTTACAATATATGAATAAATGACTGCTACTTACTGAGCAATAACGGCAAAATCGTCTATCAACTCATCGTTGAACGCATTCATTACCCCATAGTTGCCCTGAATCGACTGTTTATGACAACAGATCTTTCAGAATTGAAGAAAAAAAAAAAAGAACTACGTACTGTGCACGCACGTCCACCAGAAGTTGACGGTTCAACTTCTTTAGAAAGTAATTCAACCAATTGCACTAGATGAGACCTGGGCGCTAACTGAACAGCTATACGAACAAAGTTATGAAGTGAAAGAACAAAGATTTCACGCCATTCGCTACTATAGTATTTCCGATAGGCTTGGCAGCCTTCTGGGTTTGGATGGTATGGAAACGCTGCAAGAAGTAGAAATAAACCAAGCGCAAAAATATGACGAAACACATCAAATGTAAAATCAGACGACATAGCAATACTTGGGAAGAGTAATCGATTGCGAGTTAATCCAGGAAAACTGTAACAATGTTTCCTTCTTACGGCTTACCGCCTCATCGTGGCTGGGAGGTGTTTCTGGGTGTTAGGATACAATGTACAGCGAGAAGATTCATCCACCCAGCAGGGCGTCCCAAGCTGAATATGAGTCCGGCGTTCCCATTGGGGAATCCAGCTAAGGGAAAACCAATAGCTGGGCCCACCATCGTCCTGGTACCAAACTAGCCGCATAGTGGCGAATCTCCCACTGATCCACAAGGACTGTGACTGCCCGTGTGGTGAAGACCTGGGGCAGGCTTTGCCGAGGCTGACATCAGGGCTCCAGAGAAACACAAAGACTAAATCAGCAAAACTCCGAAAAATGGAGAAATATGCAGGCGCCCACACAACCAGTGAGGACGGGTCGTCCAAATCCAAGTATTCAAATAAATATAACAATGCTTAACAACCAAGAAGAGATAACAAAAACAAATTAATCATACCAAACCATTCGGTCCATGCTGGATTATTCTGAGTAATAGCTGCGCATTTGAGAAAGAACTGGTTGCACTTGTCCATGCGTTTACTCTCCACACACTTTACCAGGTATAATCGATACACATCAGTTTCATACACGATGGTTAAACGTGCGTTTTCCTGGAAACGAAGGAGATTTTAGTGAAGAAACTCTATGGAACCTTAATTTACAAAACCGGAGTTCGAAAATGCTGAAATTACAAACACAATGGTGAGTCAGTTAATAAAACACTTAGCAATTGAAGTGGACAGAACTCTATCATAACAACAAACTCACACCTGACAATGAACAGAATACTTTCGACTTCCATAGATCCCATAGAGATTTCAATGCGTCTACATCAAGACTGTCAAGAGCAGACAACGTTTCAGCAACAAACCTATCCACCTAAAACCTTTAGAAATCAAAACGAAACGGATAGGAAGGCAGGCAGGCGAGAGTTACCAAGAACAATAACAGTAGAACTGAGGGAAGTCTACTTTACGGTCATCTCAAAAACTACCCCTTAGACTTCTACACTCCCAAGAACGAAGTAATTGTATTGCAAATAACAATAACCTCCCAACGGTTTAGCGCCTCATCGTGGCTGGGAAGTGTTCCTGGGTATCGGTCTACGATGTACAATAGTGGAATTCATCTCCCTGGCAGTACCTCCCAAGCTGGGAAGGAGTCCAGCGTTTCCATCAGGAAATCCAGCTAAGAGTAAACCAATGCCAAGATCCGTCACCGTCCTGGTACCAAACTAGTCTCATGATGGCAAATCTCGCTGATCCACAAGGGCGGCGACTGCCTGTGGTAGTGAAGATCTGGGGCAGACTTTGGCTAGGCTGACCTCGGGACTCCGGGGAACCACGATGGCTAAACCAGGAAAAAGAGCTAGACCAAAACCAAAACACCGAAAAAGTGGAGATTGTGCTGAGGCCCGTACAACCAGTGAGGATGGGCCATCAAAACACCAAAAGTAGGTAAATAACAATGGTAATAACATCTAAAAATTACAGAATGGGTAGGAAATAGATATAGAATACAGTACAGGACTCACCAACCTGAAGCTTTAAGTCCTTTCCAGATTTTAAATCTTGGTCGAAGGATTTTAAAGTGTTGTAAAGACCACGACATAATAAATGTTCCCTGACCAAAGCATCAGAGACACTGCAGAAGCTATGCATAGCTGTTGCTACAAAACTGAATTAACTATGAGCGATTAAGACAACAATACACGACAATCATAAACATTTTGAACTAGCGTGCGAAAAACAAACCTCAAAACTGAAACCCTGCGTAGGGTTTCGAAAACCATAAGCATTACCGTGAAGGATAATCGTTTCAAGACCGCGTTTTTTCCTAAAATCTCGGACTTGTTGCGCTGTCGGGCACGGTGTTCGAATACGGTGGTGTTGCATTTCTTTTTTTTTTACCGCAATTTTCTAGAGCGCTTAAGGTTTCTATGCATAGCAGGCTGAAGGAAGAATGTTTACGTTTGCATCTTTCGTCTACAAGCCGGCATATTTCATTGCTGATGTAGTCGTTGTTTCACCCGGTTAAATATTAACACCAAGGGCGAAGTAATTTAATCTTTGTGCTCGAAAGAAATTGGTCATCTGTGGTCTTTATGTGACAGCGAAAAACAGCGGTTGTAAATCAAAGAAAGATGGCTCACTGTCTCCTTCATTCTCTCGGTGCGGAAGCAATTACTGCTGTTTTCATGCTTTTATAACGTTTTGGAAAGGCAAGTGTACGTAAGGATGAGTCTACCGCTGGTATGGGTGATATTTAATGTGTAGAAGGTCTCATTTTCACCAAAAATTAGTGAATCATAAAGGGCAGATCATCTGAAGTGCATGGTTCAGAAAGGTTGACAAATAAGCCTAATTTAAAGTATATATTCCTAATGATTCTAACATCGCAACCTCTCTCTAACAAGTGCTAGGAGCCCTTTTTGCTTAGACGTGTATCTTTTCGACGATTTCAAAAAAAAATGATTCTAAGATATACGAGTTACTTGGAGCCGCAGGCTAGCCCTCTTCATTATCGATACCCTTGCCATATCTTTGTCCCCGCCAATTGTTTTCGTTCATGGTTAAATGCGGGCTAAATTTCGAATACCCATGCGGGTTAAACTAGTATTGGTTTTATGCTCTACAGAAGACCAGCGTGGAATTTTCCGTCGTGTATTAGTACACACATTACTCTTCTAGTCTTTCGAAAGCCACTGATAATTTCTTCATCACTGGAGTAGTCGGGCAGTGGGCAAGTTCGTAGATGTATAGAAGAGAATTTACTGTGATTTTTTAATACATTCGCGTGGCTGGGAGCTTTATAAGGAATGTCCGATGCGGAAACATTAACAGCATTCAGCTCAAAATCAGCATATCTCAGCTAGTGGTGATTTTTAGTTACGCTAAAAACTGCTGTAATCTAAAAACCTTTGCCTATGTGATATGAACTATTCTATCACAAGAAGATCTTGGTTTTGTGTGTTTTGCAACAAAGACACTCTAATTCCAAATTTGTACCCCTCACGTGGAATTTCTTACTGGAATGCAGCTCTTGGTGTAATATGCATGAGGGTATCACAAACACTCAATTATTGGCAGGTCTGTTCCGTAGATTCACTGGGAATTTCTACTGTTGAATTAGACAAGTGGACTGGTCGAATACTTGTCAAATAAGATGCAATGTCTTCTCATAAACATTTTAAAGAGCATTTCAGAAAAGTCATCAGTACCCTTACGGCCATAGAGCCAAGAGTTTTCAAGAGCTCTGTCGAGTTTTCAAGTCCTTGAATATTTTGGAAACAGACACATGGAACCTAATTTGGACCGGCAATCGACTGTTAATATTTCATTTTCATTCACTATGTTGGGGGGGGGGGGGGTTACGGAACAGGGAAAACGGATAACACTGAGGAAAGAGTGGTAAATTTCCATGCTGTGGTGTAGTCACGTTTACAAACTCCAATAAAACAGTCTCACCTTAAAATTTACAGGCCAGTTAATTCCCAAGTGTAATTTGTTCTCTATTATTATCCATTTATTATAGTTATTTGAATTTTTGCACTATTTGTTTCGTAGGTTCATTTGTAGGTCCATTTTTGTTTTTGTTACTTTCTTGTTGAAGGAAGGCTAAAGGTCGTTTAACTCAACGAAAATATGATACTATTTCTCGTCACCTCTGGTGCGAATGATAGCACCAATGTTTTCTTGGTTGCTACGAATAACACAAAATTTAAAAGCAGCGTTAAGCCAATTTCGAAGCTTCTGCTGACCACCAACCGCCCCACAATTAAATCATCCTGTTTAAACAACAGTTGTATGAAGTATGCGCGTCAGGTGGATAAGAGCGATCGTGTGGAAGCTCAGCAATAAGGTATGGGATTTGTAAAGGTGGTGCAGTATAAAGGTATTACCGCTCTGCTATCGCTTGTGAAAAACACAGATTTCGAATTTTGCTGAAAGTTAAATTAATGTAACCACAGTGATGCTAAGATATTTGCAAAAATCCGGATCGCGGGTGTCTCCGGCGGAGAACGAACGCGCTATTACTTTTTCCAACAGCTGACGTATTCATCATCTCACCATGCGGGTTAAATTAGTATTGGTTTTATGTTCTACAGAAGACCAGCGTAGAATTTTCTATCTCGTATTACCATACACATAACCGATCTTGTCTTTCGAAAACCACTGGTAGTTCATCAGTGGAGTGTAGTCGGTCAGTTGGCAAGTTCGTAGATATATAGAAGAGAATTCACCGTGAATAAGCGAGCAGGATTTCATCTAGTAGACCACCGAGGTGTTCTTCAGTGTGTCGGTTCGGTTTACCCACGATTTTTTTCCACTGAGTGTCATAAAAGCCATCTGAAATGCTCTGACCTTCTAAGGTTTTCAGTTAAGGAAATTATCTTCGCTTATCGGGCAATGTTCTTCGCAAAACAGTTAACAGTGAAAGACTTTCTGCAAAAAAGTCGCGCATGGAAACGTATTCTTTAGATTAGTAGATTTCGAAAGTAAGTTTTCTTAGGCTACGCGAAAAAAAGTATTTGTGTTAATGAAATGTGGACTGAATAGAAAAAACTACGGCAAAAACCTCTGTTTACCAAAATACACCACTGAAAGCGAGTGGTGCATTTTGTACAATACACTACGTCTGTTTGGCATCCCTACACGTGCACTGTGTACAGTGCGTGGCGTCTTGAGCGTAGAATCCTAGATGCTACCTGATAGAGTACACTAAAACCACGCAGGATTATGTAATCAGAGGATTATTTTCTACCTAAGTAGCGATGCATCCTGTGTTCCATAAAGTGTGGTGTGCAATGTTCTTATTTTGCCACGAACAGTATCTGCATAATATTTAAGTTGTTGTCACTACTGCTTTTTTTCCCGCTTCATCATGGTTGACGTTACAGATTATAATCGACTTACCACCCGGTTGGTAATCGATCTTATAATTTTGACTCATTGTATTCTATTCTGCATCGATTAAAACAAACGACAAGTGTCGAAATTCTATTAAAGAAGCTTTATTGAACGGTCTCGTTGCAGCAGAAGTCTAGTAGACAACGCACGCAGTGGGAACTCGAATGTTTTCAACAAACGAAACAGGGTAGCCGTTCAGGTCGAGAACACTGGTACGAGCTTTGTGAAGGAGTTGTCTCGTCTCATGCGATGAACGAGGAAGGCAGGTGAAGCGGACTTTCTTTTCGACCACATCGTCCATCTTCTCGTTTTTACGGCATTTACGGACGGGTTCAAGCGAGAAGCAAACGCGGTGTGGGAATTCCATTACATGGGTGGTTTTCAACGGTTCTGTAAGATTTCCATATAAGTCTTGCTTGCTATAGTATTCATAAAATAATCTGTTTTATCCTCATTTTTCAACCGACCTTCGTCGAAGTCCTTCAAATCATTGCTAATATTTTCATCATCGTAGGCGCTCAACCAGTCATCACTGCGTTCTTCATTCGTTTCGATTGCGTAATCTTTCTTCTCAAAGGAGAACTCCTTCTCAACTTCGCACTAAAACAATCAGATATGACAACTCAGAGGAGTGCTAGTGCGGTTGCTCGATTAATCAACATACCTTATCGGTCAAAAGATACGACTTATGGAACTCCTCAACGTCACTGGTGTACTCTTTGTTCGGGGTGTAGAATTCGCTGTCCTTCTGTAAACAACATAGCCTGTGTTATTCTTAAAAATTAACATGATTTTTTAACTCACATCTTCGTCGAAGTGTCCACAAAGTCCGCACTGTCTTTGACTCATGTGTTTACCAATGTAGACCTTGGTATCATATCCGTCGAAGCGAACTTCGAGATCTTCTAATTTCACACGAACCATGTTATCTTCTATCTTTTCGATGCTGAAAAATGCAACATCGAAATAATCTCTGGATTTTCAAGAAAGGCACTGCTTTCAAATTTGAACATTTATTCCTTACTTGTAGCCTTGCACGGTGTCCCTGTCAACCTCCTCATTGTCAACGAAAATCCTGAGCCTGCCATCAACCATCCTTACCTTGATAACCTCTTGGCGTTCATTGATAATTTTCAGCTCCTATATTTGTGTAAGTTAGACAAATCTACATAAGTACCAAAGTAATATCTGCCTTACGTTTTCATCAGCATTCTTCTGGATTTTTCTGAGAAGAACAGCGAAGCGAGGCTCTTCTGAACAGTCCTTAGCGATCACGGAGAAGCAGTTTGTCAACGGAGCGCGGAAAACGAGGTCATCGAAGGTTCGGACTTTGGTGCTTTTAACTTCGCAGACTTGTTCTTTTACCAACTCATCGCGGATGTCACGAAGCGATCTTTTGGCGATCGATGGAAGGTAGAGCTGAGGAACAACAAAACCTTTCATTTCTACGCGCTCGTGCGGTGTTTCCATAAGTACATTGAGCACGCTACGACTGACGGGGTCAACGCTGAGCTTTAGGAAAACTTTTCCTTGCTCACCGTTATTTGTGGTGACTTTGTTGTGCCAGAAAGTGTATCCTTTAAGGTAATCGTAAAGTTGATGGACGAAGTTCTTCATGGAAGGAGTGAGATCGTAGCTTGCGACGATCTTCATCTGGTTGAGAAGCGAGGCTTGGCGAAGGAGGTCGTAGGCAGTTAATCCGTTGTGCTCCTTGTCAGCAAGTTTTCTCCATTCTTTTTGCTCTTTGCTCTGCTCTACTTGGAATTTCACATTCAGCTCATTTATTTCGTCGGCTCCCCATTTCGACTGCACTGATCCCTGTATTTCGCGGTGAGCTTGATTTTTGAGCTCCTTCAGGGATTTAGCCATTTTTGGCAGAAGTACTTGCATGCTGGTGAAGAATTTCCAATCACGGCGTTCTCCTTCGGATGGCGAGAAGGTTCCCTCGACGGTCAGCTTACAGTAGCGGAGGTTCTCCTCACAAACGGTAACGATTTTAGCGTTTCCGTAACGCTCCATGTTCGAATCGACAGCCTCAACTCTCAGATTCAAGTGGTGTTTGTACCCTTCAGATCTCTCAATGTCACGAGTGAATTTATTAATGTGGTCACGGCGCGTTCTCTCCTCGAATTTCTCATATTTGCTGGGTTCAACGTCAAACTTTTGGTCAAGGAGGTAGGTGGAGTCAACGTTGTCAACACGCACCTTCTCCATTCTTCCGCTGTTCAGGTAGAAGCGTAGTTTTTTAGGGAAGTCATGCGATGGACGTAGAACGATCTCCCAATCGTAATCTCCGAGAAGGACGTCACGCTTCTCCCAGTTATTGATGAAGTTTCCTCGCAGAATGGCTTTAATTCCCCAAACATTAATCATCTTTTCGCTCTGATGAGCAACTCTTCTCCACTTAGGAATAACAACGGATTTCTCTTCAAGTTCAGCAAAATATTTCGGTCCACACAATACACGGAAGAACGTTTTCGGGTGCGACCACACACGTACGAGGCTCTTCTCCTCGCTCGGGATATTCATGGTGTACTTGAGCTCGAATTGATTTTTATAGAGCACTTCTGCGTCGAAATTAAGTGGAAGACGAGCTTCAGCAAATCGTACAATCTTCACACCTTGTTCAAAAATAGGGTTCCACAGTTTCATCTCCGAAATCTGAGTGGAAGCAAATGAGGGTGAAGTGTTTAGACGGAAACGAAGCCCAGAAGGTGTCTTCTCCATTGTGAGATCTCCCTCAGCGTATCCAATGGTGGGCTGCATGTCACTTAATGTTAGACAAAGACCAAGGGTGGTGGGCATATTTCTTATGGTCTCATGAAGGAATGTCACCGCATGAAGCTTGAACTCGGGATCGCGGTTAAGTAGGTAGTCCAATTCTCTTCTTTCAACTTTTCCATTTATGATGTATTTCTCTAGCAGATCTTCCATGACCTTCTCGTCAAGAGGTAGAACGGCGTAATCCATCTCTTTATAACGGAGGTAGAGCATTGCGTGAGGAGTTTTATCGTCATTCATACGAGGGTGAATGTTTAGTTTCTTGGCAATGTCTTTGAGTAGTGTCTGTGACTCTTTGAAGCGCCGTCCACGACTCATTGATTGCGAATTTTGCTCCAATTTCATGAGTTTGTTAGTTAGCTTGTCGACGATCTTCTCGATGTTTTGCTGAGAAAGCCCAAGCTGGAAGAGGTTTTTGTTCCACATTCCAGAAAAGACACTGTCAAGTGACATCATTATTTCCTTGGGCCAGGCGGAGTTCTTTCCAAAGATTGTTGCAAACTCGAAGTTGACACCGCTCATGAGGTTTTCACTGAATAGTGGTAAGAGCTTGTAGGTGCTGGTAAGCATGCGAGTATTGCGTTGATAGCGAGAAATGGAGAGTAACGGACGGATATCGTTGGCGAGTTTCTTGTAGCAGGTATGGGTTGATTTTACAAAGGAGTTTAGCAAGTCATAGGTAAAGGCAGCTACCTGCTGATTAGAATCACGCTCCATAGTGGAGACTATCTGAGCGACGACAGGTTGTTGAGGTAGGGTTTGCATGATGCGGACAAGAGCTGCCATTCTAAGTTCAGGATGTTCGAGACGGTTCTTGTAAACAGGCATTAGAACAGATTTCAGCTTTAGAGGCATGAAATCCTTGAGCAGGCGGAGAGCATCGATCGCTTCCATACGAACAGGTAACTCTTCATGCTTGTTCAGGATAATCTTTTCGAGTTCATGGACAGACAGGTCTATTCCGGCGTTTGCGAGAGACTTGAGAGCGAGCACCTTTTCGTAAATTTTGTCGGCTTTTTCAAACTGCTTCAATAACATGTTGAGGTATCTCTGTTTCAGTCCGCGGTGGTTCTCGACCAAAAGGTTCTCATCCATTGTGTCTCCAACTACTCCGCGCATAACTGATCCTATTGCAAGCCATGTGGACTGATGGACAGCTGGAGAACGTTTTACAACGCTGCTATCAGCGAAGCGGAGTAGTTCTTCAACGACTTTCGAAGAAGGATACGGCAGCTCTTGAATGGCCTTGAGAAGGCCCACAATTCTGGAGGTTTTGATGCCTTCCTTCTGCACGTGGCGAAGTATGTGAGTAACAGTGTTCTTCGTACCAGCGATGGCCAGTGAATACTCCATTATAGCCCTTAGGCGCTCATCACCCTTCATATAGATGTCGGAATGGACAGCACTCAGTTCGCGGAGAGAGCACATGCGAAGTATGGAAACAAGACGGGACACGAGGGCAGTGTTTTCGTAGTTGTTCTCCTTTTGCTCTCTGATCTCATCAATGATCTTATGAATGGCGTCAATTTTGTCGGTAACATGCTCATATGGAAGAACCTCTGCGTCGTCTCCATACATATAGAAGCGTTCAATCTGTTTCCCCATCTCGTTGGAATAAATTAGGTTTTCAATCTTGCCTCTGAATGACTCGAACTGTTGCCTGATCTTTCTGACGTCCTCGAGACTGAGTCTAGCGCGGACTTCGGTTTTCATTACAGGTTGGTTCTCAACAGTAACGGTGTACACACTCACGATCTCAACTTTCTTCAAGCCGTTGTTCTCTAGTACATAGTTGTAGACAGTATTCGGTTCAAAGTTGTCGGCCTCTTTGCAGTCGCGACATTCAGATAAATAGCGGAAATTGTACTTGGCCTGTGGACGGCGAGAACATTTATTGAAGTTTATTGACTTAGTAACCTCAGTGATGTCATCTTTCTTCTTAAGAATTGTGTAGGCAACTTCGCAGTCTCCTTCGATAGTTCTTTCATTAGCATTGAAGAAGTCGTTTTCGCGAACCGTCAATGCTCCATCTACGTTAGTCTCATCGATTTTTCCGACTTTGTGAAGATTAATTTGGAGCATGTTGATTACGGAGCGCTTCATGTTCGCTGACCATGCCTCTTCTTTTTCGGAGAAGTGCAACTCAGCGACCATTCCATTTTTGTAGACAAATTGAACAGGCATCTCTAAAAGTTCCAAGTGTTTGCTGGATATGGTACGTGGTTTCATGTCACTGATAGTTTTGAAGTTATCCTTGCGGTCATCCTCCCCAGTGGCAAAGCGAACGTCCTTCAGTTTCAACATGGCGGTACGATCATCTGGGGTCTGCACATGAGCCATGGCTTGTATGCGAGTGATGGAGTTTTCGCTAGAAACAGGGACTCCAGACTGGACATCTCCTTCGAAGCGGAAGACGTATTCGTTGTGAGGTTTTAGAGGAAGCAAGTCCACCGATTGGTGGACAGCGAAGCACGCACCAGTAAGTATGAGGAGGAACCTCATAGTTAAGTGAAAAGCATACAGAGCTGCTTCTTTTATTTAGTTGCTTATCGTGCTTTGTATGATGAGTGACATATGTCTTTCTCATGGAAGAAGAAAAAACTTTAAGGCGAGCTTCTCTCATGCAGTAATTATTTTGTCAATGCATTATACCAATCATCGAATCATTGTAAACTCATTTGTTTGTTACAACGCAAAAATTCCTCTTGCGCTTTCATGTGGGCTACCTAAGCCCATTAGGCCTCATTTGAGGGCTTAGAGAAGGGATTTTTGAGTGAGAGTGCCAAAAGACTTGTTGAAGTTACGGATTTTTTTACCAGCACAAACGTTTGAGTTTAGGAAACCCATCATAGAATTCTCAAATTAAATATGTTCCTGCAATTATTAAAACATTTTGTAAATAATGATCTTTTTTGAGGAACTAGGAGCAGAAGAAGTGTTTTGTTTTAAGCTACTTTCTTGCTATCTCAACCAAATTTCTTACTGTGTTAATCTTATAAGAGAAAGGTGCATGTGTCATATAGATGGTCAAACCTGAAATATGTGCTGCCTTCACCGTTATCTTGCTGTTTAAGCTTTATTCTCTTCGATGCTAGTTCCATTTTTGGAGACATGATTTGATCCTGAAAGTACGAACCGCCGAAATGAACTGCCCCGTGAATAGAATATGTGGCACTCATGGCGCAAACTACCATTGGAGGCAGTCTTTCTTGAAAAATATCCGCATTTTGTTCTACCTTTTCCCGTTTGTCATCAGATCTTTCGTTTACCTAAGAAGAGGCAATTTAAGCAAAGAAAGCAAGTTTCGATCTTCTTATTTGATTGCCTGTATAGTTTTCCCCATGTTCAGTGAGTGACATATTATCATGAGCAAAGCGTTTTGTCACATTGCTTCAAAGTGATGTAGAATGTTATCTCAGCGACCACTATCACTAGATGCACATCAATCATAAGACTTCACAAGAACAAGTGCTGTTTTTTTGAGTGGCAGCAATAACACCAAATAATGAAAAGGAAGTCATTAGATCCTTTAATAGTAATAGGCCGACTTCTGTATCACTACCAAATTACTCTGTATTCAATATATGCAAACGGGTCGTTCGACCTCAGGTATTGTACAGGGTCTAGCATACTTTCTTCTGGTTTTGTTCTTTCTTCGCATTGTTTTCCCATAACAGTATAACGAGCTCGATCCCCGCCGCAAACACCTGTGTTTACGAGTTTTGTAATTATCTCATCATTACTATGGTCGTATTTCACATAATATGCTGCCGTGAAAAGGCAGTTAGAACACTAGCTGAGAAAAAGACTAAGAGAAGGCCTTGGTGGTGCAGTGTGTAAAACGTTAGCCTCCTGAAAGGGTAATCGCCGCTCGATCTAAACTAGGGTCCAAGTTTTGCAACCTCTCAGCACTATAAATGCCTCGTTTTCTTCTTCAGCAATCGCGAGGTTCTTTTTACAAAATACACGCTCATTTACGTGCAGAAACACATGCAATACAACAGTAGCTGACTTTTCACGTTTTGGCAGTATCATCTTCTTCAGAGCCTGGTAGGGAATACACGAGGATCTCCACAAACAATTAAACATATAAGGCAGCGTGGAACTGCGCTGGCCAAAGGCAATCGCAACTCCGAACTTATGCAAAATGCAGAAAGTGGACAAATAAAGACGTTAAAAACAGAATAGCACCAGTAATGGTCGAAGCAGTGAGGCTAGTAAGAGCACTCCAAGACCCAACTAAACCTCGCCATTTAGACGATGAAGACAATTGTACTCCGATGCTCAGACCGAACAGTTACAGCTTTCAGAAAGGCAATGGAGAAAATCACTCACGCCTAATACTCGGATCTATTCAGTAGCCACGTCTATCTTCCGGCATATGAAGTAAAGGATGATGTATATGTCGTGCTACCAGTTCGCTCACCTGAAATCCCACACGGTGCTTTGTCGGTGCGAAGTCGAACAGCACCAGGTCCGGAGAGAGTAAAACCTGAACACCTGTAGAAGTTTCCGCCAGTCCTCGTAAACGGACTGGCTCGGCTACACATCTACTGTGCGGTTCCCAGTACTTCTTACATTCGATTTGTTTCCTCGCATCCATTGTCCATGAAGATCTTCCAACTTTCACGTGTGGCTTCGGTTGCTGCTTGACGATTTTCATTTTCACCTTGAATGTCGTAGAATGCTGGTCGAGCAATTCTCCCTGGAGTGCTGAGATAGCAATGCTGAAGCATTTCCAGTTGTATTGCAGAGAGTGATTTTTTTCCCAGACAAGTCCGGTACCAATTTTTCGACTCAGCGGGGATGAGAGGCTTAGCTGGCTTGGGTGGAATCGAACTAGCACCATGCTCGTTATGACGGACACCGCTACCGTTGTTCTATCCTCCATTTTTCACACGTCACCTATCTTAATGTAAAGTCCCTGCTCACTAAAGGACCATCGTAGTCATGCTATTGTTCAAGAAGGCTGATCTTCACGATATCGGTAATTATCGCCCAGTCTGCTAATTCTCTGTAGTCTACACACTTCACTCGAGTCATCCTAAGCAGAATTGACGTAACACTGGACGAGGGATAGCCATATAAGTATGCAGGGTTCCGAAAGGGATTCGTCACGATGGACCAAATCCACGGGTTAAAAAGCGTCATTGAAATGCTGCGAGATTACAGCGGACCGTTCTGTCCCATGTTTGTTGATTTAAAGAAGGTTTCCACTCAGTTGAGCTGGAAGCGGACGTGGAAGCATTAGAGGGCCAGGGCGTCTGAACTTACAGCATAAATATTTATTCTCCTTTATGTAAAAATTTCACCACGAAAATCTCAGTATTATCAAGCGATGTTAATATGAAAGGTTTACTGACATACGCTCATTTTACATTTAGAAGGGCAAAGAGCTGATACAGTTGATAATGCACCAAAGCTGCAAGAGTTTTTGGAATCCAAATTTCAAGAATACCCGAAACAAATTCTTAAAAACTGACTTTCATTAAAACTCTGCTTGGATAATCAGTAATATATAATAGAGTTAGTAAAACATAAGATAACAATAAATTGGTTATTCATGCCGAGGTTCAATGAAAGTAAGTTTTTGAAGCATTTATTTCGAGTATTCTTGAAATTTGGATTCCACAAACTCCTGCAGTTTTGGTGCATTATCATCCGTATCAGCTCTCCACTCCTTTAACGTAAAATGGGCAAACGTCAGTAAACCTTCCATATTTTTCTGTTGTGTGGGAAAATAGTCCAAGAGATCCTGCTCGCTCTAGGGGTTCGTTGAGCATTACATCTGTTTCTAGCGTTTTCGTGAAGAACTCTGACCATCTGGTCAGTGGCCTACCCGCTGTGTGTTTGGCATCCCTAGGAATCCAGATTCTGACGACTCCTGTTCGTCTGTTATCGCTCGTTCATTTTCTACCTACCTAGCATTCTTCGGCAGTTTAGCGTTTAGAACCGCATCTATAATTCTTGACTGCTAGCGTAGAATGGAGCTTCATATTACCTCTCTCCCATGTTTCATAGAGAATATTCTAGTATCGTCCTTTTGACTGCGCGTTCGACAATAATGAGTAATGTTCCACTCCGTTTGTTGAGTTCTCGACGCATATGTTGATTCCAGGAGTGGAGTCAAAAAGTGAGCAAGGAGTTGGATATTCCTTGTTCTCCTCACCTCATGCTCGATGCTCTTGAAAGCTGCCCAAGCCACCAGTTCCCTCTTGCTCAACTCTAGAACTAAGTCGTTCATCATATTGACTTTCCAAGCTGGGTAGGCGTAGTTGAAGCGTCCGAAGATGTTTGGGAAATAATTACAATTCCCTATCCCGGTCACGGAAGAGTTTCAACGGTTTACCAATACCTGTTCTATTTAGCTAATGCTTGGTGCTATAGGAACGATCTTATCAAGAAAGTAAAGGTGGTATAATTGCAGGGCATTCATTTTCAATCCCTCTTCGTCACACTCCGATGTTCGCATGATATTTTGCAGTGCTGGAGTCAATAGCTTTTGGGTTAGGGCATCGCCTTGCTAAACCGCTCTTTTTGCGTCGATGTTAACATCATTTGATAGCACTGATAATTTTGCAGTAAAATTCTTATATAAATAAGAATAAATCTTTATACTGCATAAACCACCGCCATCGATGACAACTATGTGAGAAAGGCGCACTACCGATGCGAATATGGTGCATCATGATTATCGAGTGGAACGGCTGTTTGCTAGAAGTACTAAAATCCATCAACAGAAGTGGCAAAATCCCTCAAATTCTGAGAGCAATGTGTTTGGGGAGTGAAATGTAGTAAAATGTATTATATAGCAGCAACTTTATAAATCTGTATGGATAATGAAATACCTCTTTTATAACATGCTAGGTTTTCAAACTCACAATTCGTCTTCCTTTCGAAAAATTAGGGTTTATTGTCGAAAAAACCAACATTCACCACATCCAAATGGCGAAAGAGTTCAAAATTTTATTTTGGACTTGGGGAAATCAAGGTATGTTTCTAATGTGAAACTACTAGACGATATCTCAAATGCGTTCACTGCGAGCTGAAACATGCTTGATGAGAGTCGCAACAGCTTTTAGCAGGCATGAATTGATAGTTACGATTTTAAATCAGAATTTTCATTTCATTCATGAATTTGATCAGCAAAGAGGTTCAAAAATTAGGACCACCCATTAGATTGAACAATTGGCAATCTCAGCAAATATCGGATAAATTTTCTGAAGTTTTCAAAACAAAAATTGAAACAGCGTTCCATGGGTTCTGTGGACTATATTAGAAGACCAACCCGATCGACATATGAGGATCCCACTTCCTTGTGCGACTATCTTACCTCTCCCGCCTGCAGGTGTCTATGAAGAGGAACGAACGCGCTATTAGCTCTTCCTAGGATTAAAACGTTCACTACCACAGCATGCGGGTCCACACATAATATTCTACAACGAAAAATTGTGATAGGCGGTAAATAAAAAAGTCAACATTATGATTTCGACTACAACCTC